CCCATTATTGATAGTATCAAATGATTGGCGCCGTCACACGACTGGTGCTCTCACATGGCTGGTGCTCTCACATGGCTGGTGCTCTCACATGGCTGGTGCTCTCACATGATTGGTGCTCTCACATGACTGATGCTCTCACATGACTGATGCTCTCACATGACTGATGCTCTCACATGACTGATGCTCTCACGTGGCTGGTGCTTTCACGTGACTGGTGCTCTCGCATGATTTGTGCTCTCACATGACTGGTGGTCTCATATGACTGGTGGTCTCACATGACTGGTGGTCTCATATGACTGGTGGTCTCACATGACTGGTGCTCTCAAATGACTGGTGCTCTCAAATGACTGGTGTTCTCAATTGACTGGTACTCTCACATGACTGGTGCTCTCAAATGACTGGTGCTCTCACATGACTGGTGCTCTCACATGACTGGTGCTCTCACATGACTGGTGCTCTCACGTGACTGGTGCTCTCGCATGACTGGTGCTCTCGCATGACTGGTGGTCTCGCATGACTGGTGGTCTCACATGACTGGTGGTCTCACATGACTGGTGGTCTCACATGACTGGTGGTCTCACATGACTGGTGCTCTCGCATGACTGGTGCTCTCGCATGACTGGTGCTCTCGCATGACTGGTGCTCTCGCATGACTGGTGCTCTCGCATGACTGGTGCTCTCGCATGACTGGTGCTCACACATGACTGGTGCTCTCGCATGACTGGTGCTCTCGCATGACTGGTGCTCTCGCATGACTGGTGCTCTCACGTGACTGGTGCTCTCACGTGATTGGTAAAATGAGTGGTACAATGACTGGTACAATAATATATCAAAACGACAGAGCTCTAAGGTTGATATGAGCAATTAGTGAATATTTCAGGTCTTTTTTTTCAGCAAACTGTATTACCCTTGTGGGTTTAGCGCCTAGTTTGGATGATTAATAATAATAATAATCAGGTCTTTCTCAGACTTAAATGTGCTTGGAATAACAAGGCCGCTATCCTCCTGGATACTAACATCAGATATACTTTAATCCTTAGGAAGGGGAATACTAAGCTCTCAGTTTACAAACACTTAAAGGTATATACCTCTCGGTTTATGTACTCGGACAGATGGATACCTCAGTGTATATACTCTGAAAGATATATTCCTCTGGGTATGTTCTAAGCCATGAAGAATGAGCCCCGAGTTAGGGAACTCATAACTCAGATCAGTTATTTGGGGCAGCCAAAAGATTTAAAGCTGTGTTCCCATAAATGTCACTTATTGTTCATATATTTGCTTCTTGGCTTGTGTTAACACATGTTCTGAGAAATATATACCTCTCGGTATTTCCTCTTTGTCTCTCTCTCTCTCTCTCTCTCTCTCTCTCTCTCTCTCTCTCTCTCATATATATATATATATATATATATATATATATATATATATATATATATATATATATATATATATATAATATATATATATATATATATGTCGTGCCGAATATGTAAAACTGGTCAATTATCAAGAACTCATTTAAAATTAGGTCCTTTCTAAAAATTTCTCTTGTACGTTTGAAGATATATTTTTTTTAATTAATGTTAATGTAAAAATTTTTAATTTTGCACCAAAAGAACCTTAGAAAACTTGCTTAACCTTATTTATAAAAAGCGCAATTTATTTTAGCCTAATCCTACTGAATATATTTTAAATACGTTTACGATAATTTAATACTAAACAAACACAATGAAATATATTTTTTCGTAATGTTTAGAATGATTTTTGCGAAATTATTGCATACACAAATTTTCACTTGTCCTATATGGCAAGAGGAGCCTTGGTATTTAAGCCAAGATCGCAAGTTCGGCACGACATTATATATATATATATATATATATATATATATATATATATATATATATATATATATATATATATATATATATATATATATATATATATATCAGTGTGATGGGTCTGCTGGTTTAGACGTGTGCCAGTCACCTATATGGGAAATATTAGGAGAAAGTCGCTCGAGAGATGTGCACTCACAAAGCGCGAGCTCTCACTTACAGAGCTTACACGCAATAACATAAATGCAGCAGCCTTTTCCATAATAGAGCTGTCAGAAGCGGATTGTTTTTGAGTCAACCTAACAGCTTATCTCGTGTTCGCTGAGTGTATCCCACGTGTATGTGGCAGTAGTGTAGCTGGGATCATCCACCTCCACCAGAATGCGAACATATTCCGGTAGAATTTCCTTTCCCTGATGGCTGATCCATTGGAGGAGGATAAGAAGCCTGGTAAAGCAATCCTGGAGGCAGTACAGAGGCCCAGTCTGTCCATTCTGAGTGGAAGTATGGCTTGCTCCCACTGCAATTTCTCTAGGGAAAGGTTTAGGACGTTTTCGAGAATTGATTTTAAGAGGAAGTTATGCTCTCCCAGTTCGGAGCTGACAAAGGATAGAGAGCATCGTCAAAGTTAGGTTCTGGAGGTATAGACCCTTGGTAAGGAGATAGGCTTCATAGGCATCACCTGCTTGATATTAGAGACTATTTTCTCCGTGATCATACAATTCCATTAAACCCAAGTGGGGCACCAAGATTAACGGAAGCGGGATTAACGACATTGACTCCTTCCAGGGCAGCTGGATGGTGCTCGCTGGAGCACACCATTTCATATTTCGAATGGTTTAGGGGGAGAGCTATATTCTCTGTGTAGTACCCGCTAGTGTACCATCGTCCAAGAACCAGATATTGAACTCGCCGGTCAGGTCCTCTGTAACCTTTATGATGACCAGGCAGAAAATGAGAGAGGCGAGAGGGTTCTCCCTGCTGGACACTTTCACGCGAGTCCGAGAAAATCTCTAAAATGTTTTTAAAAAAATCAATAAATACGACAGTTATAAAAACAGAACACAAGTACTTGAGCACATTCAAGAATTTACACACATCTTGTGCTCATTAATTTTCGTAATATCTTCATACTGTTTTTACTGTTGTATCATTGTTCTATTTTTTCCGCTGTGATATCGTAGTTTTTTTTGTTTGTCACAATGGAATCTCGTTCTGTGTTTTTTCAATGTGATATTTTTGTTTCTGTTGGCTTTTCACTATTGTAATTATCGTAGTGTCTTCGTTCAGTTATACCAATGTGGTATCTTACCTTCTGTTATTTCAGTGTGGTATCTTACGTTCTATTATTAATATCAGTGTGGTATCTTACGTTCTGTTATTAATATCTATGTGGTGTCTTACGTTCTGTTATTAATATCAGTGTGGTATCTTACGTTCTGTTATAAATATCAGTGTGGTATCTTACGTTCTGTTATAAATATCAGTGTGGTATCTTACGTTCTGTTACTAATATCTATGTGGTATCTTACGTTCTGTTATCAGTGTGGTATCTTACGCTGTTTGCAATTTATTGTGGTATCTCTTATACAAGACTGTGTGTAGAAGTGCAGGCATCTACGTGTGGGTGAGGTAGTGAGGTTGTTATAAAGATTATCTCAGCATCAACAGTGAACAAAAGGTGAAGGAGAGTCAAGGGGAACAAGTGTTCAGGAGAGTACAAATCAATAAGGTGACGAGAGGGGAGCTGAGTGAACGAGGGGACATAATGGGAGTTGAGTGGACAGGTGTAAGGGAAGGCTAGACTAGACGATGTGTTTTATTTTTCTTGAAAGGGTTACAGGTGCACGTAAGCTAAAACAGGATACGTAATTGTGAAGGGACTCTCTCTAAGCATGTCAGGGTGACTGTTTACCAAAGGGGTGCGTTGATGCTGGTGAAAAGCTCTTGATCCTAAGAACTGGAGCTACTTTACCCTTTTACAGATAAAACTTGATTATCTCTCATTCCGATGCTACTTTGTAACCCTGTTAGGTAGCAAATCAAACAGTAGATATGCCTAACGATATCGTAATAACACAATTGCAAACAAACCACGTTCCGCGGTTGATTTGCAATCGTGGTTTGAAAACCGTGGAACGTGGTAAGTAAACATGCGACTTTAGGTGCTTGCTTGGCATATGAAATATTCTGGTCTCGAACGATACAATTATTTGTACGAAGATGAGGAGGTATGTAAACTTTAATGCCTTTTAGGACGTTCTGGCAATCTCAGAACAGTATCAGGATTGGAAAACGTAAAGTGCTTGGAGAAGCTTAAAGTTGTATTAAAGGCATGATGAAGAATACTAGTCTGTATAACAAAAACTGAGAAGACTTTTTGGTCCTTCCTAGACTACATGCTAATCACATCTGGGAACATGTGAAATCACCATTAAGTCGTGCTTAATGGTGATTTCACATGTTGGCTGTAGCATCAATAGATGATTTTTCTATAAAGTGGAGATAAGTCCCTCGAGGACTTATGCGAACAGTTAGTGTAAATATTTCATTGGGTTGACTGACTCTTGAAACCTGCATTCGTTGCTCACCGGTTTCTCCGTGCAGAAAGAGAAAAACATTAGATTTTACAAAGGAGGATGACAAAGTTGACTCCATGTATCAGAAATCTTCCATATGAGGATAGGCTGAAGGCCCTGAATTTGCACTCTCTAGAAAACCGTAGAATTAGGGTTGATATGATTGAGGTGTATAAATGGTAAACAGAAATGGATAAAGGGGATGTAAATAGCGTGCTGAAAATATCTAGCCTAGACAGGACTCGCAGCAATGGCTTTAAGTTGGAAAAATTCAGATTCAGTAAGGATATAAGAAAGCACTGGTTTGGTAATGGAGTTGTGGATGAGTGGAACAAACTCCCGAGTACCGTCATAGAAGCTAAGACCTTGTGTAGTTTTAAAAATAGGTTAAATAATTACACGAGTAGGTGCGGGTGAGTGTGAGCTTGACCCGAGTTCTAGCTACCTGCTACTAGGTCAGATGCCGTGCTCCTTTCTTAAGTGAACGTGACCTGGCCTGACTAGGTTAAGGCATTGGATTAAGCCGGTAGGAGAACTGGACCTGCCTCGCTGCCTGCTGCAGTGTTCCTTCTTATGTTCTTTTCAGCAGATAAGTTTCGATGTCCTTGGCATGCAGTATAGGTCTTCACCGAGATGAACGCAGTGTTGCTGGAAGATCGCAAGGCTATGCTGCTGGATGATTCACGTGAATACAGACACAAAGAATGTTTTTGAGCAGTGTGCCTGGGAACCAGTTTGATAAACATACATACGGTAAGTAAAGTCAAAAGGAGGTCTTGTGTACATTGTACTTATCCTGATAGGTGGACAGATGTTTTTTTTTTCTCCTGACACTTGCGCCAACATGTGTTCCCTCGCCTTTGTCGCACTGTATAAACATACCAAATCCTGTGAACTTCGAAAAGATTTCCATAAAATAAGTTGGTATACAAGATCCCAAAAATCATAGATCAACTTTTTCAGTACGATAATGCACTTTGTCGTACATTTAACTCTTCGTAAAATATTGACAATGGCATGATTGTAGATGCAAATGTTAATGTGGCTAAATGTCTGAGAATTAGAGTTAAAATGTCACTGTTATTCTAAAAATAACTTTATGACTCTGTTGACAAAATATTTTGACAGATAACAACCATGGAAACTAAAAGTTATAAAATTTGGCGAGGGAGTGAAATAGGGGATGACGCAGAATTTATCATTAGCACACGTGAGATATGAGCTATTGATAAATTCTGCGCCAGTCACCGTAAGTTAACCATCAGTTTGCAAGACAATGCAACATTTTGCAACATGTTAAATTCAGCTTTAATAAAGACGCACCATACATAGAACATTTTGACCTTGATAAAATCTTCCTAATAAAATAATGGCCAAAAATATATTCACTAGATGAGAAACATAAGTTCAGACGTTTTGAACCACTTAAAAATTCATATTAGAATCACATTTTGTCTACCCTTTTTGTGGCGGCCATTTTGGATTTCCACAAATACTGCGTCATCCTTAATACTGTAAGGGGGTATTGACCGGATCCTGTATCATGGAGGCTTATCGACGCTTTGTGTAGCTATTATGCTTAAACCCAACTAGCCAGTCAACCATTTATACATTAACAACAATAACAGCAAGTAATTATTTAGCTGAAAAATAATTTTTAAATGAACTGTGTGTGTTATCACACACTTTCGATTAAGAAGGGAGAAACTCTACGGTCAGAAGCTGCCACGTTTCACTTTACTTAATGCCGCCAGCAGTTCCAGAGGATCACGAATGATCTCTATAACATCGCCTGGATACTACCAAGTATATCGGATATAGGAGTACACTGATTATATGTGAGTTATTGAGTATTATTATTGGGTTATGAGATAACCGGGATTCGTATTTGATAACCTTGATGCCGGTGAGGTGCTCTTGATTCAACGAAGCGAAGCAATACTCTATTTCACCGGGTCAAGTGTGATTGCCTCCCAGTTTTCCAGGTATTTGTGATCTCATACAGGTTTAGCGATTAGTTATTACTCAAGAATTTTCTGAGTGTGTACTGGAATAACTAAGTGAAACTAGCGCATCCATTTTCATTTATACACACATATACATACATACGCCAGAATGTTTCAGAGATGGGACACAGGAACAAGGGACACACTTGAAAGTTAAGGCTCGGATGAGTGAAGTAGTGGAGGCAGGATCCATTCATAGCTTTAAGAAGAGGTACGATAATACTCTTAGAGCAGGGAGAGAGTAGATGTAGCAGCGATCAGCGAAGTGGCGGTGCCAGAAACTAGGACTCAACCCCTGCAACCACAAATAGATGATTGCAAATAGGTGATCTCTCTCTCTCTCTCTCTCTCTCTCTCTCTCTCTCTCTCTCTCTCTCTCCCTCTCTCTCTCTCTCTCTCCTCTCTCTCTCTCTCTCTCTTCTCTCTCTCTTCTCTCTCGCTGCACACACACACACACACACACACACACACACACACACACACACACACACACACACACACACACACACACACACACACACACACACACACACACACACGTACACGTACACGTACACGTACACGTACGTCTCTTCCTAGCGAAGGAACTGTGCAAACCTATATCAATAATCTACATGTCCCTGGAGAAGGGAAGCATAGCGGACACCTGGAAGATTGCAAATGTTATCTGAATATGCAAGCAGGGTGACAAAAGTTACTAAATTATAGGCCATTATCACTGAAATGTATTATATACTATCCAGAGTAGTGGAAAGGAAAGCCAGGATAAGATTTGTTAAACATCTGGAAAGACGGGGCTCTTATTTTTCTGGAAACCTTCACGGATTTAGGGAACGTGAGTCTTGCCTCACTAATTTACCCGAGTTCTTCAAAATAATAAGAGAAATCAAGCAAGAAAGGAGAGGATGGGTTGACTGCAGATTCTTGGAGTGTAGGAAAGCATTTGACACTGTATCCAACCAGAGAGGGATTCATATATTAGAGTACTCGGGGAAACCACGTGAAGACCGACAGACGCTCAAGGATAATTAACGAACAGAAGACAGTGTTTTGGTGAGAGCAGATGTCTGAGGATGGGAAAGTGTAGCATGTTGGGTTGCGAGAGGATCAGTTATAGGGAATTTATTGTTTGTACTGAACTTGCATGACCTGCCAGCAGGGAATGACTCGTATGTTTCATTGTTTACTGATAACTTAAAACTATTGAGAGGAATATAAGTGGAAGAGGATAGGAAGGGATACAGGTAGATCTGGGCAAACTGCAAAAACGGGTAAACGAGTGGTTACTGAAGTTCAGCTCAAATAAGGGCTATGTTATGAAGTTAGAGAATGGAGAGAAGTGACCTTATTCGAAATACAGCTTCAGAGGCGAGAAACTGCAAGTATCACACAAGGATCTTTGAGTGAACACATCGCCTCAGATGCACATAAGTCCCATAACATCTCCTGTGCCAAAGGAAATAATATGTAATCTCAGAACTACTTTCACAAACCTCAGTAAGCACTCTTTTAGGATTATCTACTTGACATATTTATGCCTATCATGGAGTATGCAAAACCTCCATGGAGCCCTCACCTGATCAGACATATATGAAAACTGCAAAAGTTCTACGGGTTTGCAACATTATTCCCAGAGCTGACCTACACACAATCTCTCATCTCTCAAACACTACTAGACCTACAATCAATGATACACAGTCTCTCTCATTTCTCACACTACTAGACTTACAAATAAACCATATTATAAATAAATAAATACAAAAAAACTGGAATCTCTGGAAAAGGGAGAATCTACGGGAAATATATCTGCTTTGGATGTGATGCTGTATAAAACATAACGCTGCTGTCAACACAATGCCTGGATATTGCTAAGGTGGCGCAGCGCATCGCCACACTCAGCTGCCTCTCTGATACGCCTGGCTGAGTTCTTTGGCATTAAGGGTGGTGAGAATCCCAGAGCAGCGAGGTAATAATATGAGGGTTGGTGCCGGTGTTGTTCTTCTAAGGTTTCTGGTTGAAACTCTACTGTCTGGCATGCTGACGATGTGTTTAAGTGTTCTTAAGTTTAGGAGCTGGAGTAACCCTACGCGTTCTTGGATCACTTCCGACTGTCTTGGTTTTCCAGAAGCTGCATTTTTTCCCTGTATTTAGCGCCTCCCCTTGAATTTTAAGAAAATGACTGAGTTTTGAACACTGACACTACGCCCATATTGATGACCACATACAGGTAAGCACTGAGTCAGAGAAGAAAATGTATCGGGTATTAATTTATATACTCCAAACTCTTAATTCGAAATTTCTACTTCTAAATTTTGTTAATTTGCTGAAATTGGTTTAAAAGGAATTTCTCTTAGTCCCTTAGTTGACGGACTTGTAACATCGTTTAAATGCTCAAAGCCGTATCCCACCAAGGCAGGGTGGCTCAAAAAGAAAAACAAAAGTTTCTCTTTTTAAATTTGGTAATTTATACAGGAGAAGAGGTTACTAGCCCCTTGCTCCCGGCATTATAGTCGCCTCTTACAACACGCATGGCTTACGGAGGAAGAATTCTGTTCCACTTCCCCATGGAGGTAAGAGAAAATAAACAAGAACAAGAAAGGAAATAGCAGAAAACCCAGAGGGGTGTGTGTATATATATGCTTGTACATGTATGTGTAGTGTGACCTACGTGCAAGTAGAAGTAGCAAGACGTACCTGAAATCTTGCATATTTATAAGACAGAAAAAAGACACCAGCAGTCCTACCATCATGTAAAACAATTACAGGTTTCTGTTTTACACTCACTTGGCAGGACGGTAGTACCTCCCTGGGTGGTTGCTGTCTACCAACCTACTATATATAATATATATATATATATATATATATATATATATATATATATATATATATATATATATATATATATATATATATGTATATATATATATTATATTCCACACTGGAAATGTTTGAGCTAAAATTTCAACTTGTTGTAATGTCTGGGCTAAAACGGTATCAGACAAGCTGGTGCCACTAGTGTAACTGGTGCCACTAGTGTAGCTGGTGCCACTAGTGTAGCTGGTGCCACTAGTGTAGCTGGTGCCACTAGTGTAGCTGGTGTCACTAGCGTAGCTGGTGCCACTAGCGTAGCTGGTGCCACTAGTGTAGCTGGTGCCACTAGCGTAGCTGGTGCCACTAGCGTAGCTGGTGCCACTAGCGTAGCAGGTGCCACTAGTGTAGCAGGTGCCACTAGTGTAGCTGGTGCCACTAGTGTAGCTGGTGCCACTAGTGTAGCTGGGACCACTAGTGTAGCTGGGACCACTAGTGTAGCTGGGACCACTAGTGTAGCTGGGACCACTAGCTGGGACCACTAGCTGGGACCACTAGTGTAGCTGGGACCACTAGTGTAGCTGGGACCACTAGTGTAGCTGGTGCCACTAGCGTAGCAGGTGCCACTAGCGTAGCTGGTGCCACTAGCGTAGCTGGTGCCACTAGCGTAGCTGGTGCCACTATTGTAGCTGGGACCACTAGTGTAGCTGGGACCACTAGTGTAGCTGGGACCACTAGTGTAGCTGGGACCACTAGTGTAGCTGGGACCACTAGCTGGGACCACTAGTGTAGCTGGGACCACTAGCTGGGACCATTTAGTGTAGCTGGGACCACTAGCTGGGACCACTAGTGTAGCTGGGACCATTAGCTGGGACCACTAGTGTAGCTGGGACCACTAGCTGGGACCACTAGTGTAGCTGGGACCACTAGCTGGGACCA